GCCACATGTACACTCAGAGAAAGGGCAAAATGGAAACTAATTTGGGGAAATTAGATCAAAAGGTGCCTATACTTTGGGATCTCTAGGACTGAGGGTAGAAATTGCATAGACTAATAGCCAAATTATCAATGAGAAAAACACAAGGAACATAATATGCATAAATTCAGAATCTAACCTGACAGAAACTAAAACATGGGAACATGAGTGTACAAGCATAAATCATTTGTTATAGGGCTGCTTAAAGCCAGTTGTTGGTATTATAAATAAATAAATGCATTTTATTTTTATTATAAAATTATTTATAATAAAAATAAATTAAGAACCATATTTTTGCTCACTTGCTAATTCAGCAACTCCTTTTTTCATCACATGGGGCTGTACTAACCAGGAATTATTCTGACAAAGGGCACATGCACACTAATTTCCAAATATATAAAATTATCAAATTAAAGGAATTTAAAGAAGGATGACTAAAGATAGATGTCTCTGACAGTGTTCGGAAAACAGGAGTGTGAAAGACCATGCAAGTGTGTCTGAGAGACCACTTCACTTTCTCATACAAGTGAAATGAGGAGGATTGTTGCATGTCCTTAAGTTTAATGATGACAGGAACCCTGGTTTTGGGTTTTGACCTGCTTGCTTTCCTTTCTTCTTTTCCTCTACTTCTTTCTGTTGTTGCGGGGTGCAGACCCCATAATCACACTTAAAGCTTACACTGAGTCTTGTGGAAGGTTTTAAGATCTACCTGTGTTAACAACAAGAGGCTCTTAACCCAAAATCCCTGTTTGGAGTAGTATCGGCAAAGACTAAAGTGTTGCTTTTAATCCTGGACTGCCAGGGAAGGGGTGGGAGGCTTTTTCTGCTGAGAATAAAAAAGAGGTGCTGGACAGCCATTAGCTTGGAAATCCCACCTAGAGCAGGATTATCAGAAAATGAGAGATGTTCATGATAGGAGATGGAGTTATCATGCCTGGAAGGAGATTGCACCCTGCAGTCATCAAAGTGTTATGATCCCTGAGTTATCATGGGAGGGTCCATTTAGCACAGAAGCATTTGAGATTGACAGTCATGCACATCTGATCATTATTGCTAACAGTTCCTGCCCAGGTCACCCCCAGTTGTGGCTGGGCAAGCCCTCCTTTTAGTCCTTGTAGCTTTGGATCCACCTCTACCAGTGAAACTGAGAGCTGGTGTATTGTTGGGCACAAGTAGGAAATTCTGCCTTTTAGGCATGAGAACTCAACCATGTTCTCATCAAATCAAATTGACATCCTTTACAAGGCTTTGGTTATCCCTACAACTTTTTGCTCACAAGTTCAGTCACAGTTGTGTAAAAAGAAATTTTTGGTCACTATTTGGTGACTGACCATTGATTTAAGTACTTTTAAAAACCCCTACATGAGGGAAACTAAATCCTTTTGTAAAATTGACCTCTTTCTCTTGGATTATTTCTCTTGGATTATTCCAAAACATCATATCATTTAGGACTGTGGGGAGATGATGAATCTAAGGGCAAAAAATGGTGTCTGGAAGAACTCCAAGTGGTTCTTTGATTGCCAATAGGTGCGGAAACAACAATAATGCAGGTTATTTTTGTATTGTTATAAGCTGGCAAGGGGTAGTTCAACTCTGTAATCTTTGTCTCACCCACCGTCTCTGTCCCAAAAAAAAAAAAAATTACTGCTACATGGGCAGTCATTCTGAACTGTGAAGTCTGCGCTTACAAATTGCTTGGAGTTCCGGCTTGATGGATCTTTCTTATTATATTTCCAGTCTTGAGTACTGAAATAAAGACTAAAGTTGAAGTTTACTAGAGAAGTCATCAGCAACTTCCAAGGAAATTCAGACTCTCCCTGGGTAACAGTAAACAGGGCAAAACAAGTAAATTTTAAACTCTAGTCTCTGTTCATTCCTTCTTTATGGATCTGATATAGTAGCTTTGCAGGCAGATGAAGTTGGTTAGCTCTATGCACATGGAATAACATTGTCCTTAATGTACCCAGGACTATACTAGTGATGGCTTTCCTGCCAAAATTCTATCAAATCTCTTCCTGCAATCTCATTCACAGGCAGTGGTGAATATGATTTTACGTACTAATGAAAGAAGAGAGGATAATTCCAGCAGATGGAGTGAAATACTAAAGACATTATACCAAATCATGCCTACAAAGTGGTATCAAAATCAAATAACTTGCACTTACAAAGGACCTGAAAAAAATCAGAAAGGTGCAGAAAATGATGATTACACTAATCAGAGGTCTGACAGGAAAATTGCATAAAGTTAAAGAAACAATTTTATAAATAGCATGAGGCTACTGAGAATTGGGATCCCCCAAATATCTCCTGTTCCAATCATTATAGTTTCTGATCCTTTAATTCTTACCTCTTTTTCAGCCTGTAGAGACAAAGCAGATATGTTTAATTTGGTCTGCCAGGTGCCTGGTCTTTTTAGAGCAACTCCAGTAAATGACTGAGGAGAGGGAAGCATTATAAGGCATATTTCATACATGAGGTCTGCCCAAATATATCAAACATAAAGTGTTTTAAACTATTTTAATCTTGATGTGTTCTGATCTTTAACAACTTCTTGGACAATGACTTCCACAGTCTGACAGCATGGTAGATGAAGAGCTCTTTGGATATTATTTAGCAGTTTGCTACAATTAAACATCTTCAAATATTTGCTTTGTGTTACAAGGACAGGGAAGTAACCATTCAAAATTAAACCTTCTTCCTATTCAAACCATTTCGTTATTCATTATTTTACCTTGTGCTCTCTCATTGTTCCATCTGACTGATCCAATCAACCATTGGTTAGTTCACTGCAAAATGGAAAAATCTTGAGTTTGCCAAAGTTTATGAAATAAAAGACATAGAACACTCTGTAAAATTGTCTCTATAAAGGATAAACACTTTCTCATGTATTGAATCATTTAAGCCTCCATCTTTTTTCAAAGGTCTGAAACATAAGTATTGAGGGGCACTTTAATTCTGCTGTCTGATTATTCTGCCACTAACTTGTTTCTGTATTCATTTCTTCACCCAGGTCTTCAGAATTTCTAGAAGTGCCTCTTCTAGAAATTCCTTTAGAAAAAGTTTAATTTCTGGCTCAAAAGCATACAGTTGCATATTTGTTTCCTTTCAGTTCAGTCTATGGTTTCCCCTAAAAACAAAACACATTACAAAATGTAACTGAAAAGAAAAAATCAGCGGGTAATTCTGAATAGCAGGTGTTCCCTGAAGAGCTAGATAACTAATAAGTAAATAAGAATGGCTGCTTTTCTTTAGTGTTTGCTTATTTCACGCTTCCTTTATTGCTTTGATATTTTTAATGTTCCTTCAGAAGTAATAGCTTGTAATTACTCTATGTTACTGAAGTGATTAAGGCAAAGAACTATTGATTTCCAAATCAGACATGCCAGATTTGCAGGGCGCTTTGAACACAAAACATATTACAGAGGTCTGGTATTTAAGCTCCTCCATGTCATTTTACTTCTGGTCAGTACTACACTATCCTGTAGACTTTTTTCCCCAAGATCTACTGAGTTTTTGATTCTGGAATACTCAAACAGGTAACACTCAGGTGTTTCAATGCCCGGGGGGACCCACAATACCCACACTAGTCAGTGGCTACTGAAATCACCACTCCCCAAATTCAATTCTCACTCATTCTTTAACATAGCTATTAGTTCTTCATTTTGATCCACACTCCTTTTTGCAGTAAGATATCTGATGTGGGAACTGATGATTTCATTATTTGCTACATTCTTGAGGTTTGTTTCATTTAGAACCACCATTTGGTATAAAAATCCTTCCTAAACTGAGGGGCCCAGAACTGGACATAGAACTCAAGCTGTGGCCTCACCAGTGTCATGGACAATGGAAGAATCATTTCCCTGTTCCTGCTCACCACATAATTTCAGATATAGGCCAGGATGCTGCTGGCCTTCTTAGCTACCTGGTCACACATTGGTTCATGGTCAGCTGCTGCTGACCAGCCCCCCAATCCCCACCTTTCTGCTGAGCCACTTTTCAGGCACTCCTCCTCCAGCCTGTATATCTGCATGGCGTTGTTGTGACCCAAGGGCAGGACCCAGCACCTGGCCTTATTGAACCTCACACATTTGGCCTTTGCACATCAATCCAGCCTGTCCAGATCCCTCTGCAGAGCCTTCCTGTTCTCCAGCAGATCTGTACTCTCCCCCAGTTTGATTTCATCCACAAATTTGCTAATGGTAGATTCAATCCCCTCATTCAGACCATGAATAAAGATGTTAAATACTACTGGGCTCAATACTGATCCCTGGGGAGCACCACTAGTGAGCAGCTACCAACTGGATGCAGCACCATTCACCACCACTCTCTGGACCAAGCTGTGCAGCCAGTTCTTAACCTGATGAAGAGTGCACCGGTTCAAGCCATGGCTGCCAGCTTTTCCAGGAGAATGCTGTCAGGAGATGGTGTGAAAGGCTTAGGTGAAGTCAAGGTAGACGACATCCAAAGCCTTTCCCACATTCACAAAATAGGTCATCTAGTTCTGTGAAAAGAGTTGGACTCAATGATACTTGTGGGTCCCTACTGAGATGCCTGTAGTTCCCTGGATCTTTCTTGTAGCCCTTCTTGTGGATTTGTGTCACATTGGCCAACCAACGCTATTATCTGAGACCTCCCCAGCTATCCAGGAATATGATGGAAAGTGATTTAGTGAACCACAAGTCCTGCATTGTATTGCACATTAGAGAAAATACTACCAGGTAAGCATTGCTTCCATTACTTTTCTCTGATCTCTCAACTGAATCCTTTTAATATAGTCGTGTTCATTTGCTTTAACTCTCAATTATGAGTTAAAGCAGGCACAATACAGAACTAAACTACATGTATAAAGTAAATCACTGAGAGTAAACTATGTGCCAAAATCCTACAGAGTGGCAATAATAAATAGCAGAGTAAAATGTACTATGTTAAATTTAAATCCTGATATTATAGACATCATGCCCACATCAGAATCACTTAGTTTTATTTTTACAGCAAGGCCACTTATTTTTCTGTGCCATGGAAAAACTGAATTCTGTAGCAAATGGTACATTCATAGGGAATTTGCAACATCAGAATGAATCTCCCAGAGAGTCATTTGGAAAATATCCATGAAGAATCTTCTCTCTTGCATTTCTGTCACTGCTTAAATATTCTTTTTCTGTTTAATTCCATTATGGATGTTTTCCAAATTCAAAAGACTGGGTATGGGACTTGTGTATAATCCTTCTAATCTGAACAGCAGTACACACAGTTTTTGATGCTTACAGACAGTAAAGATGGAAAACCTATGGAGAAAAAAAGAAAGAAAAATGAGTCAGTACAAGTTTGACAATCACAAACTCGGCCTTAAGACTTAAGAGGAGTCTCACCTAGTTTGATCCCTTGGGGTAAGAGGCACATCCATCAGGGTAACCTCATAACCCCATCCTTCACTAGTCCTTTTCTGGCCGGCTGACATCAGAGTCATGCACTGGAAAGAGATGTGAGGTATAGGATGCAAGTTCTCCAAGCACAGTGCCATAGTTTTGCAGGAGCTACAGCATAAGTAGCAACAACTTCCACAACACAGAAGCAACACCAGCTGCAGTTCCTGCTCCTGATCAGCAGGAATTTCCCTTTACAAAGCAACCCTTTTAAAACCTTTACCCAAAGCTGCCCTCATTGGGTTTTCTGTCTCGGTGCTGCAGGAGATTGTGTGCATTTTCACACTGCCCCCTGGGGTGCTGTGCACACACTTATGTCTCTTGCACAAGTTACAGAAAATTGTATCTCATCCACCATCTACAACATAAGGTATGCTCAGTGAAGGTATAAGAGAAACAGCTAAGGAGTCATTCAACCATGATTTCCAGATGTTCTTTCAGAAAGTGATATATTGACTAGAAAGAAAAAATAGATTCATCTACATGGCAAAAACACAACCCACCAAGAAACCATTCACTCTCTGGAAAATAATGTTTAGTGTTTTCATATTGCCTTTGATATTCATTCTAGGATTAAATGCTGGAAAGCTTTAAGAAGTTTAACTAATGTTAAGCTTTCCTCACCCTCAACACAGTGCAAAACTGCACTCTGCTGCAATACACACCATGGCACAAGGCCAGGTTTCTGCTCATCAGAGTTCAGCCCAGCCCCTGGCTTCTATCAATCCAAACTAAGTAAAGGACATGCATCTATCCATCACCTGAAATACAACCATCATATGCTTACCAATTCATTTACATTTAATTTTAGGGTTTTATCAGCAAACCTAAGTTTTCTCTACAGTGGTATTCCTGACTGAATTAGTGCCTTTGCTGCAAATAGATTTTTTCAGTGGAGTCAGATTTGTCCACCACAACGAAATTGTTAGTGCAAATGACACACAAAATTACATAGTATTCATTTGAGAACTCAAGTTCTCAGGTGACTCAAGACTCAGGTCTGAAGTCATGGTCTATTGTACGCATTTTTATGGGGTAGAATGGCCTGGACACCTTTCTATGACACAATAACTTTTTGAGCACTTATCCTCATGGAATAGTTTCTGCCTAGACTGTGGTTTTTTGTTTGTTTTGTTTTTTCATTTGTTTGTTTTTGTGCGTTTGGGGTTTTTGTGTCAAAAACATTGGTGCACACAATGTTATTGGCTGCTGTCTGAATTAAGAGAACTAGCATACCCAGTCACTGAAGCTCACTTGTGGCCACTGTGATGACAATGAAGAGCAGCATTTTTTTAAAGTCACTGGTATGTGGTGAGGTGTGGAGCACACAGGCAAATAGGTAACCTGAGAGCACAAGAAGTACTTGGAAAACACTGTCCACATGTTTTCAGAAGGCACCATTTTCCTGTAAGAGGTGGCAGACCAGATGTGTTTGTCTGTTCAGTCAGAACCGACTGGGGGTATTCCTCCAAGTGCCCAGGCCAGGTGGGAAGGCTGCTGGTTTCCTGCCTGGTTGCAGTGTCCTTGGAGGGGTGAAAGGTTTGGCACAGGGAATATTGTGCATTCCCTGAGTGTAACAGCAGGGAATACTAACAGTAACTAACAGGTCACAGCTTCCTTTTTCCTCTGCTATTCAGACATGGTTTTCTTTATCACTGCTCAATCTTCCCATGCTTGGAAGGAAAATCCCAGCTTTGGATGAAGCTGTCTTACTCTTCATTATCACAGTTTTAATACTTGCACCTTTCACAGCAGAACTATAAATCTAACTGTGTGGCTGGATTGCAACAAACCTAATTTCTCAACAGATTCACATGAATGTCACATTTTTCTGAGCTATTTGGCCCACCCTGGACTTTAGCAGCTTGATGGCTATCTACTCTTTTCTCCAACCCAAAGCAGCTGCAGCTTACATGAAGCTATTCCATTGCTGAGTAATGAAAAAAGGCATCGAGATCAGAAACATTATTCAAACTTGTGTTATTCATGGCATCTCTGGGGCTGCTGTAAAGAGTCATTAGCAGCTACCCAGATTTGCTTTCACAGAAGCAGATGCTTTGGTTTCTTTCCTCCTTCATGAGTATGGAGGCCTCTTTATTCTCCTTCTGGTGTGATCAAGAGCTTTGAATAGGTCTACACAGAGCTGTAATAAGGCACTGAGAAAGAGTTATTAGGCTGATAGCCTAGACTGGCTGGCAAACACAAACAAAAACCCATCCCTCTGTATGGCAGCCAGCTGCCAGTCTTCAAGGGGCTTTTATGGTGTTCTTTCAACTACGTGTAAATTATCTGTTCTGCAAAATGGACTGTTCTCCTGAAGGATTAGGCTGCTTATCATTACCACATAATTTCCTCAAAGAAGAGCTGGCTCGCTGTTGCTTTTCATGTCATTAATGAGTTACTTGAGCCAAAAAACACAGCTTGTAACTATGATTGCATGAAGAAGGCTTTGTGAAGATTCCCCTGATCTTCTCTAATAAGAAAATAGACTGGACTCAAAATGGACTTTGACCTGGAAGGACAGCTTCAGCGTCTTCCACAACTGCAGTTTAGGCAGATTTCTGCAGCACGATATTTACTGGGCATGAAGTGTCCAATCTTGTGTCTTGATGTCCACAAAAGCCTAGAAGCTGATTTGTATTGAAGGGCAAACTGTGCCTATCACTTAATTCTCAGCATATTTACCTTTCTGAGGTGAAAGTGCACAGCCTGTTTGATTGCCAGAGTTTAACTCAGAAAAATAAAAATCCACTGGGGCTCTATGATGATTATCCCAGGTGAATAATACCAAAACAATGTACCAGAATTTATTGAAACTGGTGAATGAATTACGATTGATTTATACGCTTTTTCTGGGAATATATTTTTGTATAGTTAAGTCATTACAAAGATTTGGAGAAATGTGAAGGCTCGTAGGTTTAATTTCTCTTTAAACCCCAATTTTGTAAAACCTCCATACTTACAAATAGTGTCATCCTTCTCCATAAAAGGCATACAGATACATATATTATGGAGGAAAAACCTAAAAGATGCTCTTAGACAATATCTTTTCCCTGGAATACCTTATATTAATTTAAAAGCAAAACACAACAGCATTTGAACCACAGAATTAGAGAGAAAACTTGAAACAGCATTTGCAATGCATGAAAATTTTAGATATATTAATTAAATTTAGTTCTGACAGGACTTTAAGTTTCAGACATGGCTTAAACTGTACAGAAATACCAAATTTATGTGAAACTTTGATATTATATTCTTTACTCCATCTGATCCACATCCTTAGCCTGTTTCTGCAGCTTTGGTACAGTAGCCACTCTTCTAACTGACTCTTAAGCCTTCATCATACGCTTAACCAGAGATGGAGTACGTAATAATTTTGTTCTTTCCTTCTTCATCACAAGAATACAAAGCAAAAACAAGAATACAAAGCAGAAATAGTTGTGCTGGCATTAGGCTGGGTTGAGCTATTTTTTAACTAAGAGTCTGATTTTGAAGTGGCAGATCACTAAATATTAGTACAAATGAATGAAGGGAAGTTACAGAAGGTTATGTCACAGCATCCTTCCACAAACTTCCAAAGCATGCGTGAGAAGTCCTTCCATACCTAGGTACCCTATGGCTGCTAAAAGGTCAAAATAAAGTGGCAAGCAGAAGTGGTCATGGAGATCAGTGTATTCAAACCTACATGAACTAGCATTTGGGATATTTGATGCAGACAGAGTAAGAACAACAGAGCTCCTTTGGCATTTTAAAGATGCTCAATATTCTTAAAGTATTTCTTGTATAAATTCAGGTTGACTTATCTGTTACCACTCAAAAGGTTTTCTAACCTTGCCATTTGCCTCTCAAGAATAAGCATGGGAAAGTGAGAGGTAGTGTAAGCACTACTCTTGCTTTCTTTTTGAATGCATTTTCATGAAAACAACTTCATATTTGGCCAAGAAACTCATCTGCTCCAGCCGTTTTATGTCCTTTCTAGAGTCAGAATCTCTCTAACACCACAAATTCTTTGAGTAGATGAGTATATATTTGGAGTTAAACAAATTAAAGATGTTTATAGCAACAACCTTAGGCTTGTACCGCTGTGTTGTAATTAGAAATTATATATGGTTTATTGACAAAAGGCTGAACTTGAATCCAGAAAAAAAAACAAAAGGACTGGTAGAGGGTATAGCTTCTTGTTAGTCTCATCCATATTTTGAATTTAATCATCCAGATGAAATGGAACTACTTTGTCCTTCTTTTATACTTAACAGTCCCCTGTATTTCCTTCTACTTTTCCCTTCTCTACCTGCAATTAGCACAAAATAGGACAAGCCTATTTCCTCTGAATAAGACAGTGGTGAAGCACACCCTTGATGACATAAGAATCTCATCCTGGCAGTTCCATTCAGTTGCACAGAAATCAAGATACTAACCCCAAGCCTTGGTATTTGGACAAACTCTAACATTTCTGCCTGTGGAGTTTCTGAATTCTTTGATATTAAATTTACGTAATTTTAGTGGGAAGATAAAAGGACAGGGCCAATCAAGTTCCAAATGGATCCTATTGCAGCCTGCACGATATTTTCCAGGATTCAAAGATCACTCTCCTGAGCAGCCCTCTGCTGCAGAGAAAAAGCAGCCGTAGCACACACTTGGACACTTTGATGGCAAACTGCCACTACACAGACGCACTGGACTTGAGAGGCTTACCAGCCTATGGGAGATCAAATCACACTAAAAACATACCCATTTACTTGGGTAGTAAATATTTGCAATATCACAGAAGAATTTCTTTGGTTTTGTCAGCTCTGCAGTACTTGCAACGTTGAGACTTGCAATTCCTTTTGTTTGTTTATTTTTATTTTTAACTTTTTGCTAGACTCAACTCAGCAAGAGGAGTTCTGGTGTTATGATTTTCAAGTTTTTCAGTTTCATGCCCTGGACTGCTCAGATGGTTTTGGTGAAAGTTGTTTGATTCACTGTGGACAGTGCACAGGAGAAACAACAAAACCCTCAGAATGTTCAATGGTAAATTTTTTTTTGC